TGGCCTCTGATAAGTCAAAATGTAGAACTACTCTAAATATGTATCATCAGTACTCATTCCATTAATACTATTCAAATGTATAGTTAAAAAATATCATTGTTTTTAGGTCACCTGAGCTTTAGCTCAAGTGACCTATTGCTATCCGTTTTCGTCCGTCGTCGTCCGTCGTCCGTCGTCCGTTAACATTTTACATTTCAAACTTAAAGTCAAGTTCTGCTGGGCCGATTGAACTGAAAGTTGGTAGGAATGATCGCCTCATGGTCCTGACAAAGTGTTGTTATTTTTCGGGTCGATCAGAAATCCAATATGGCCGCCACGGCCGCCATTTTGAAAACCTATTTCAAACTTAAAGTCAAGTTCTGCTGGACCGATTGAACTGAAAGTTGGTAGGAATGATCGCCTCATGGTCCTGACAAAGTGTTGTTATTTTTCGGGTCGATCAGAAATCCAATATGGCCGCCACGGCCGCCATTTTGAAAACCTATTTCAAACTTAAAGTCAAGTTCTGCTGGACCGATTGAACTTAAAGTTTGTAGGAATGATCGACTCATGGTCCTGACAAAGTGTTGTTATTTTTCAGGTCAATCATAAATCCAATATGGCCGCCACGGCCACCATTTTGAAAACATATTTCAAACTTAAAGTCAAGTTCTGCTAGGCCGATTGAACTGAAACTTTGTAGGAATGATTGACTCATGGTCCTGACAAAGTGTTGTTATTTTTCAGGTCGATCAGAAATCCAATATGGCCACCACAGCTGCCATTTTGGTAAACTATTTCAAACTTAAAGTAAAGATCTACTTGGCCGATTGAACTGAAACTTTGTAGGAATGATCGAATCATGGTCCTGACAAAGTGTTGTTATTTTTCGGGTCAATCAGAAATACAATTTGGCTGCCATGGCCGCTATTTTGCTACTAAGTTCTAATAGGCCGATCTCACTTAAAATTGGTCTAGGAATGATCAGCTCATGGTCCTGACAAAGTTAAGTTAACATTATACTATTTTTTACTCAAATTGGTACATATTTCAACAACAAAAATAAATACTATAGACTCAGGTGACCGTTAAGGCCCATGGGCCTCTTGTTTTTCTGATGACTGGCAATGGATGTATTCTGTGCCCTCAAATGTGCCCTTTTTTTTCTGTTGGAGGCATTTTGTCAAGCAAATTTTTCAGATTGATAAAAAATTGAAATGTCAATATAAATTTCATGTTGGTTGCTGTGATATGAATAGCATTCTTCCAGACATCTTTGCAAGATGATGGTATCTACCCAGGTTTTTCAGTCATTCCAAGGGTCCTGCCAACTCCAAAAGATTTAATTTTAAGGGATTGATCTACGAAAGAATATTCAAAATGTCTTGAGGACATGGTGAATGCCTCATCATATTACTTACCCTAATTTTTATATGTTATCTGTTAGTATGTTGTAGCCAAAACTGTTTATACACCATTACACTCAGCTTAACTCAATAACTGAGTGATGCACAAAACAGAGAAATAATGATGTGTTTCTAATTGTTAATTTTATTGTTTTCCAGGATACTTGAAAAAGAAACCAGCAACTTTGACAGCTTTTATTGCTGATGTTGAATGGGCTGTTGATGGTCACAGAAACAAGGATATGGGAGTGGATGAGGACCAGGATAAAGACTCTGCAGACGATGAGGACGATGATGAAGGCACTTCAGAGAATAATGGCAAGTATAAAGACACTGTAGATGGTGACAACAAAGACAATATCGCTGTAGAAGATGATGATGATGATGATAAATGCACTGCAGAAGGTGACTACAAGGATATAGCCTCTACAGAGGAGGGTGAAGACGATGATGAAGGCACTACAGAAGATGAGGACATGGACATAAACACTGCAGAGGATGAGAACAAAGACAGAAGCACTACAGGTGATGAGAACCAGGAAAAAGGCACTGCAGAGGATGAGGACGATGATGAAGGCACTTCAGAGAATAATGGCAAGCATAAAGACACTGTAGATGGTGACAACAAAGACAATATCACTGTAGAAGATGATGATGATGATGATGATAAATGCACTGCAGAGGGTGACTACAAGAATATAGCCTCTACAGAGGAGGGTGAAGACGATGATGAAGGCACTACAGAAGATGAGGACATGGACATAAACACTGCAGAGGATGAGAACAAAGACAGAAGCACTACAGGTGATGAGAACCAGGAAAAAGGCACTGCAGAGGATGAGGACGATGATGAAGGCACTTCAGAGAATAATGGCAAGCATAAAGACACTGTAGATGGTGACAACAAAGACAATATCGCTGTAGAAGATGATGATGATGATGATGATGATGATGATAAATGGACTGCAGAGGGTGACTACAAGGATATAGCCTCTACAGAGGAGGGTGAAGACGATGATGAAGGCACTACAGAAGATGAGGACATGGACATAAACACTGCAGAGGATGAGAACAAAGACAGAAGCACTACAGGTGATGAGAACCAGGAAAAAGGCACTGCAGAGGATGAGGATATGGATATCATGGAAGATGAATTGATTGTGCCAGACAGTGCTGAGGATGATGACAAATCAGACATTTATCCTGCTTTAAATTCTTCTTCTGTCCTTTTATGCAAGGAAAGTCTTGATTCTGATGAGGAGTCCAATGATGTCCCTGAAGAAGATTCTATTTCCAGAGATGTCAACCACAGAGGCGTATATGTCAAATTAGTTGTGAAAAATGGTTATACTAACTTGGGGAAGCGAAAAAAGTCTGACCGTGTTTATAATTCAACACATCCGTGTCCACTTTGTGATAAAACTGTCACTAACTTTTCCCACCATATACTTTCAAAAAAACATGCTAATGATGCCGATGTGACGAAGATAGGAACTCTGTCTGGGAAAGAAAAGAAAGTTGCCATTCAGAAAATGCGCTTGAAGGGATCACACAAACACAATATGAAAGTACTTAAAGAGAAGAAAGGGGAAATATTTTTGTTAAGAAGGTCAAGTAATAAAAAAACAGATGGAGTGCTTGGGGAGGAGGATGAGGAGGAAGATGAGAATCAAAGTGACTGCATGGCTACATTTGATATGAGCAAATATGGACCGTGCCCAGAGTGCTTAGGATGGGTCCTATTGAAGTCAATCAAGAGACACATGAAAACTTGCTGTGTTAGCAAAGACCCAACATCAAGTAAATGTCAACTGATTGTTCAGTCAGACTTGTTGTCAGAGAGGATAACAGAGGAGGCTTCAAAAGCTTTGGTATCAGAGACATTTACAATCATGCAACAAGATGAGGTGGCAAAGGTCGCAAAAAATGATAGTCTCATTGTTACTCTAGGGAACACTTCCATGTTGAGGAACGCAGGTAACAAGGTGATGCGTAGGTATTACACATCCTCAGTTATGAGGTTGGCTGCAAAATTTAAAATGGAATTATTAGGGATGGATTGTACTGATCTAAGGGAAGAGAAAAACAAGGATGATTGTGACCAAGGGGAAGGGAAAGACGGTAATTCAATGAAAAAAGAACTGAGTGAATTTCTTCGTCCACAGTGTTTTGACATGATTGTAGCAGCAGCATTGAAATGTAGTTGTCAAGATGCAATGGATGAAGAGGATCTGAAAACACCCAGCAATGCACTCAAATTGGGATATGATATAAAGAAAATGGTGTCTGCAAAACTTGGGAGAGCCCTCATGAAAGATGATGCAGGAAATCAGAAAGATGCAGAAGGCTTATTAAAGCTTATGGATATGGAATGGGGAGTACGTGTTAACAAACTTGCCAGAATAGCTCTGACAGAGCGGTCCTTCAATGCAGAAAGACAGCTTCCTCTTCCAGAAGACATTAAGAAGCTTTGTGCATATCTACTGACAGAAATTGGGAAACTGGACTTGACTGATTGTTCCTATGAGAATTTTCGTAAAGTTGCAACATTGTCACTGGCGAGGGTAACTCTGTATAATCGACGGAGATGTCACGAGGTTCAGGCTTTGAGGTTAGTATTTCGTGCAATATGCTGATTATTAGATCTATAATGATACATCTTACTCAGTGGAAGGTTGATTATTACAAAATTCCTGTAGCTGGAATACAAAGTTATTTTCTAAAACATCTGTGTTGATCATTTTAGGACTTAATAGACTTTTCTAAATCTCAAGGTCATTGAATCAAATATCAAGGTTACATTTTGTATATTGTAACTACTTGCAAGTTTTGGTCACTTTCAACAAGGTATCCACTGACCAAGTTTTTTGGTCATTGGACGAAAGATCCTATTGTATAGATTGCAAAAAGTACAACTGATCATAAGATAAAAAAAATTAATAATCAAATTTTTGTTTTGTATTTTGGTAGGCTATCTGTGTACAAATTGCGGAAATCTGGGGTTGATGAAATCTCTGTAGAGATGAGAGGTGAACTGACAACTTTTGAGACAATGCTGCTGACTCGTCAGCAAATGGTGGTGATCAGAGGAAAGGTAGGAATGTATACATTAAAAAAATCTTCTTTTTATGAATAAGAATATAAACATCACTTGCTACTTAACTAATAAAGATTTAAGCTAACTAATAAAGATTTAAGCTAAATAGTTGTATGTAATGTGGTGCTTTGCTCAGTGGTTGGCAGGCGACGCTGGTCTATATTGAATGACTTTTACACTTGAAATGATCTTAATCTACTTGGCAGATGTCATTGATTAAGGAGAAGATGCTATACTCTTCTAGAACACCTGGTTTTGTTCTCCTTTGTACTTTTTCAGAGTCTCTAAGTAGACCTTGCCCATGGTTTGATGGTGCTTTGAATTTAAATTAAGATTTTTTATGTTAAATATGTGGTCTCTCTTGCAAATACTTGTATTCTTTCATTTTTTAGAAAGCACTATTGCTAATTTGATTGCTAAAAATTATATACCTATTCAACCTTGTAACTGAGAATTCTTGTAATTTGCAGACTGGCAAAGGAGTACCTGTCCTTATTCCAGCAGATGTGAGAGATACCATGAACTTTTTGAATAATCCCGAAGTGCGACAGCAATGCATTGAAGATGTCAATCCATATGTGTTTGCAAATTCAAGTAAGTTTTTAAGTGTAGATTTAATGTAGATTTCTTCATCATTCAAAAGATTGTTGATCAATATAAGAACTGTTTGATTATTAATGAGTTAACCTTACTGACGTTTATAATGTTCATGTTTTTACTTCATTTAATAGACATTGGAGTGATCCGAGCTTATGATGCCATAAGGACAGCAGCCAATCAAGCAGGACTTCAAATGCCACACCTAATCAGAACTAGCAACATGAGGAAGTATTTTGCCACAATGTTACAGGTATGATAGCTATTATTCATTGTATACATACAGAGCTGCCAACTCTTACGATTTAGGCGTCATTATTACGATTTTGAGGTCTGAATTACGCTAGTACGATTTTCCAAGTAAAATTACGATTTTTAAAAAAAATCCGGAATTTTTCCGTTTTTTTGTTAGGTTCGCCGTAATCCGGTCCCGATGTCCGTTTTCAGTATTATAATCGCAAATCAGATGCACACGTGCGTTTGCATCGATTCTCGAGATAGGCTGGAGTTAATTCAATGTGAAAAGGACGTTTGTAGATGAAGTAAAATGGCGGAAAACGTGTCAAACTGGACGGGTAAGAAGACGTTTCTCCTAGGAAAAAAGGATATTATCCATTCAGACGTTTAGAAAACGCACTAGAAAAACAATAAAAGGTAATGAATACATGTTTGTAAAAAAGCGATCGCAGATTACTATTTCTTAATCTCTAAGGTTGGCAGCTCTGTACATAATCAAAAAACTTAAGTTTATGATATTTGGCTAGTACTTAACACAAGTTAAGTTTTTTCTCGAATGACTTATTTAGAGATGTAAGAAAATGAACTTCTGTGCAAATAATTCCTTGTATATTCAATAAACCACAATGATATCACAGACCCTTTACACTTTTCATTGAGTATATCATTATTTTGCAGGCATTTGATACAACAGAGGCGGAGAGACAGTGGGTAGTTGACCATTTAGGCCATACGATGGATGTCCACCGAATCCATTACAGACAAACCTCTGATTTGATTGAACGTGTTGATGTTGCCAAGCTTCTGTTGATCCAGGATCTGGGTTTGGTTAGAAAGTTCCAAGGGAAACAGCTCAGAGATATTCAAATCAATGGTACTTAAAAAATTTTTATGTCAGAGTGAAAACACAAGTTTTGGACTGCTAACTTTAACTTAGTAACAGTAATTGAAATTCTGAATTTTTGTCTTAAAATACCAACAGGAGATTTGAAATAAATGTATGAGGATTATGTTACATTCATTGCTATTTTTTCCCCCATGAATTATTGCTTTTTACTGATGATTTGCTGCATTTTGTCCACAGATCTCTTTGATGCCACTGATGATTCGAATACCTCAAGCTCTTCAGCATCAGCTACAGTGACTTCTAGCTCCACCACATCTTCAGTGAATTCATCAGGCTCAGCTAGCTCCTCATCTTCAGATGGAGTTTTGTCCAAATCCCCTGCTCAAAACACAATCTATGATGAGGATTTTATTCCTTATTCATCCAATTCCGATGAAGATGATGATAGCATTTCACCAGGTATTTTAAACGAGTTACTTGTTTTACTTTAAATTCCCTTTTGACAACACTTTTCAGGGTTTTTCTATATGTACTAGGGATAGGAAACCCAGCCATGGATAGAAGTGATTTTATTCTGGAGTCCTGGGGTCAGGTAGATGGAATAACCCTAATTAAAAAGCCATAAATTTAGGCTTAAGTGTCGAATTACTACAATACCAGTGCTACGATATTTAATACTTTAAATTGGTATTCTGATGATTTATTTATTTAATCTGTTTTAGCAAAGCAAAAAAGGAAATCATCTGGTGCTGTGAAAAGGCAAAGGTGGAGTTCAACTGAAGTCAAAGAACTGGAAACTTTGTTTAAGGATGACTTTTCGAATAACAGTTGCCCTGGGCAGAAGAGAATTGAAAGAATCATGAAAATAAGCAAGGGAAGAAAGGGGTTGATTCACCTCCGCCCAAGAGATACAATAAAAAAAAAATAAGCAATATGATGATTAACAAGAGGAAAACAAACAGAAAATGAGATGGAACTGTACAAACTGTGGTGAATATTCCACTTTTGACATTTCTGTGCAATTACGTTTTTGGACATTTCTGTACAACACATCTTGTTTGAAATACATGCTTCATAACCACAAATAAGGTCAAGATTTTGATAGTTTTTCATTCACAGAAAGTTTTTCTTTAGGTTTTGAATTGTCAATCATAGGACGTGTGATTGTTTTAGCTTGCCTAAATGCTTAATTTTACTGAATCACCAAGCCAATTTTGACCAAATGTGGTCTGAAGTATCTTTGGAGGAAGAGGATCAAATTTATATAAGTAGTGCGTGTGTGTCCCATTGGGCCTGAGAGGTGGGGCCCATAAGGGAAAAATGTAGCGAATTCTCTAAAATCCTACTTAGTTTTTAAGGAGTTATTACATTGATATTGTCAATATTTTATCTGAAGCATCCCATGGTGAATGGGATTCGATGATTTGTAAACTGGCAGTCTGGAGCAGGTAGGATAGGGCCATGATATTGTTCAAATTTGATCAGAAGTAACCCCTTGTGGAGGGAAATGTATATTATACAAGTATTGGGTGAGAAGAGGTGGAGTTCTATGGGGGAAATAAATTCTAAAAATCCTGCTTCACAGGATTTGCTACAATCCTTTGATTCTTGTGCCATAGCTTTGAAACTGTGATCCTTGCGTAAATCCAGGTGGGCCTTTTGTTTGTTTTTAAATTTATTTTAGTAATTTTGACATCCAGGATTGATGAAAAAGTCAAAGATGCTTAGATATTGATTAATATGCATGACATTTATTGTAATATTTTAATTGTAATAATATTTTCGCTTCCCCTTCAAATGAGACATTTTGTTAGTACTGTTCTGTTTCCGATTGGTCTTGTTTTTCAATTTTTTCTTGCCCAACCATAAGTGCTAAACCGTAGAAGATATCTTGATCAAACTTGGTATGTAGTTGTATCACCTACAAGAGATGTGTAATGCACTTCCAATAGGTCACTGTTGCCTTGACCTAGAGGTCAAAAAGGTGATTTTTTCAAAGTATCTTATTTAGGCCATAATTGCTAAACCATACAGGGTTAATTGACCAAACTTGATAAGGTCAAAGTCAGCTTTTGTTTTATATATTTCTTCTTAACATACCTCAGTTTTTTTTAGAAAAGGGAGACATGTGTTTTAGTTCTCAAAAGCAATTTTTCTAGTTGCTTGTTTGCTTTGAAACTTCTGTGTTCTGATGTATACCTTGATATAATTGGGCATATAGTAGGATGGATTGTCTATGATACTGTGGCCATGGGGTGACTCTTGTGTGCAAAGTAACTTGTTGATGAAAATTAGACACATAATGGGGTCATTTGTCCATAAAATTACATAGTTAGGGAACTCTTTTTTTCTGAAGTCTGAAAAGTCCATATAAGAACAAATATTGTGTTTGCCAAAATGTCTTCCTTCAAAATTGTTCTAGTAGGTAATACTGGTGTTGGGAAAAGTGCTCTGTGTGTGCAATTTGTTCAGCATGTTTTTGAGAAAGAATATGATCCCACAATTGAGGATTCTTACACAAAGAGAATTTGTTTGAATCAAGAGAGCTATGTACTGGAATTGATAGACACTTCAGGTGATGGAGAATTCAGTTGTATGAGAGATCAAAGTGTTCGGCTTGGCCAAGGTTTTATGATTGTTTTTGCAGTCAATGACCAAAAGTCCTTTGAAGATGTCAATATGTACATTGAACTAATAACAAAACTGAAAAATGGCAATGTTGCAGTGATTCTTGTGGGGAATAAGACTGATTTGACTCCAGTTGTTGAAGCGGAAAGTATCGAAAGATTGGCTTCCTATTTGCAGATTCATTTCATGACAACAACTGCAAGAAATTCAAAAGATGTAGATTGTGTGTTCCATACCATTGTTGCAGAAATGCAGCAAAGAAAAGAGGTGCCCATGGAAAAGAATGATAAACTTTGCTCATGTATACTGTTGTAGATGTAAAAACTTAATGATCAGTTTGTATTGGATATTGTTAATATAATAACAATTTATTGCATATGGAAAGGAATGGTTTTTAAACACAGCAGTAATTATGAAGGAACCCATGGATAGCTATGTTAACATTATATAGTCGTTACAACTAAGTTTATTGCATATGGAAAGGAATGGTTTTTTACACAGCAGTAATTATGAAGGAACCCATGGATATCTATGTTAACATTATATATTGGATAATCAATACCAGGTGTTTTTTTTTTTTTTTTTTTTTTTTTTTTTTTTTTTTNTTTGAAAGTTCTATCATGTGTCGCTAGTAACAACATATACTGTACGTGGGTCACAAATATATTTTGTAACTGAATGCAAGTTGAAATTTTCTTTATAAAAGATGCCTTACTTCGTGATTGCTGAATAAAGTTTCTGACAAGAATTTGATTTGGAATTGTTTACTGTGTTCCTTCATTAAGTAACAACAAAGTGAAATGTAATAGGTTTCTATTTCTCTGATATATTGCTATATCAAATAAAATGGTTCTTTATTTGAGAGATTTAACTTGACACTTTTTATTAGGCAACTGTTGTTCACATGAATTACTTATGTTCCTAATGGCCTTGTGTTCTTTGACATCTATCTATAGGTAACTAAGGCACTATAAGTAATAGAAGATATATGTAATTGATATTTTCTATTGGTGACCGATACCAGTATATCAAATAGTCTTCGCATTCTTTGGCATTGCACCAAATGACTTGTGAAAGTATCTTGGACTCCTTAAATTGTTTGTCCAGGGCACTCTGGTAGCTTGACGAATTTTGCAGATGTACTGATGTCCGTTCACAGCATTATGGCACATAAGTATAACAATGGACACAGCAGAATTTTGTTTATGGCAAGATGAGGTAGAAGAAGTACCTCAGTATACATACATCTACACCATAGTGTCATAAATAAAAGCAACCCCACTTTGTGTGTAAATTTAATATTCCACAATGTTTTATCTGATCTCAACACCAGTGTTATGAACTTACTTTATTACTATGTGCCTCTTCCATACTTGGTGTATATATACAAGTTAAATGGTAA